GCTTGGCTGCTGCTGGGGCTAAAGCATGGCACCTGTCCATGCCAGCATGAAAAGAACCTGCAAACACTTCCCCAGGCCTGCCCACTGCCCTGTTCAGCACAGGCACTGCACAGCTCCCTGCCAGGCCCAGCCTCACCAGAGGAAGGTCTCTGCACTGCCCGCGCAGGCACCGCAGCGTTTGGCTTCTCAGCTGGGAAGGTGGTGGTGGCAATGGTGCTGCTCTCCGAGCTGCTGTCTGCTGCTGGCACCACACCGAAACCAGAGCTCGGGTAACACGGCTGGTACTGGCTCTGGCCAAGGATCGTGTACGTAGGATACTCCTGTGGGAGGAAAAGGTTAGTGATGGTAAGAGATGATGGTGGATTAGATGAGATCTTAGGCAGAAGTTTTTGCTGTGAGGGTGGTGAGACACTGGCCCAGGTTGCCCAGGGAGGCTGTGGCTGCCCCAGCCCTGGCAGTGTTCACAGCCAGGTTGGCTAAAGCCTTGAGCAACCTGCTCTGGTGGGAGGTGTCCCTGCCCAGGGCAGGGGGTTAGGATTGGATCATTTCTGAGGTCCATTCCAAACCTTAACATACTATGAAACTATGAAGCTATGATAGCTCTTTCAGAAAACACTCAGCATCAGGATGACTTTTGTGCTGGAATATCCTGTCAAAGAGAAATCCCAGCAAGGCACAGTCTGACTTTATGCTGCCTCTGCATATGTAGGACACCTCCAGAAAGGGCTGAGAGCTCTGACTGCCCAAGAGCCCCTGCACAGGCAGGTCTGGCAGAGGAGGACAGTGATCACAGGGCCACTCCTCTGCCCCCAGGGTCTGCAAGAATGAGTTCATAATGAATGATGTGACAGCAACAGGGGAGTTCTGAGTGGATGCCAAGGCATCAGTGCCCTCTGTGCTCTGGAATTTATGGTTTTGTCTTGCATTTGACGCCCTGATACCAGATGTACTGACAGCAACAGAAGTAGCCTTGGCCCTGGCTGAAGGCACAAGCCCAGTCAGGAGAGCCACAGGACAACCAGCATTTCCTCAAGTCCTGACTTCAGCCAACAATTATTCTACATGCTGTGATGAAAAGTATCCATGTATGAAAACTGTTTACTCATTTAGGAGATCACTGAGCACCTGAGGCTGCACTTGAGGATTGTCATTTCTGTTACTGATAGTGAAAAAAGCAGTGACCCCAAATGTCACATCACACTCTTTGGCACACTGAGTTTTCCTGACTGCCTTGAAGAGCAGCCTGGGTTTGTGAACCAGGTACCTTGGGCTGAAATACTGAAAGAAAAATGCTTTTCCCCCTTACAGTTCCAAGGATTTTTGTGCATCCACTGCATTTTTCACACTTCCTATTCTCTTTCTGCAAAATTGGACACTGAAGGGTTCCTTTGTACATTCAAGTACTCAGAATGACAGTCAACCACTGACAGGGCTGTGTATTCCCCACAGAGGTGACAGGCAGGATGAAGGGCTCTGTGCTAGCTGCAGAACCTTGTTTTACTCTGACACCACCAGAATGTATCTCCTGCTTTACTGGGATGAGGTTTCTTTGTGTACAACCTAATTTTCTATTCTTGCTGAGGGAGAACAAACACATCCAAAAACCATCCACCTCTGAGCCTCCCTGGGTATAATCCTCAAAATGGTCCTATGGTTTCTTTCCCACCATCTCTCTTGAAAAGATCTCAGTTTAAGACTCACCTCACAATCTGCAGATGAGGAAACAGCTTTGAACAGACAAAGTGAGTTTGTTACAAAGACCAAAGGGAAAAGCACCATGGTCAAAAGGACAGCAAGAGGGATTTGGTGACTGAGTTACACACTGAGCCCAGCAACTCCAGCACCACTGTGCTCCACTGGAAGTGCTGCAAATACTTGGTGTTCTCATGTTAATTTTGAATAATGCGTTAAACAGAGGTGAAGGAGATGTTGCACATAAACTTACCAAGGCAGAGGTTTTACCTGTGAGATGCTGGCTACTGCTGACGTGGAAATATTGACAACAGTGGAGGCTGTAGAGACTGGACTGGCATTGGTAGTTGACGCTGTAAAATTAATAATTATTGCATTAAATGCTTCCAGAAAAGAACAGGAGATGAGAACTTGTGAAATAAATACTTACTGGGCATATGTGCAAGCATTTGTGCCTCCAGCAGCACTGCTGCTAACAGCCAGGACAGGGCTGGGGTGTACTTTGACACCAGTTGCATTTCAACTGGGCTTACAGGGAAGGAGACTTAGTACAGTCCTTTTAAATTAAGGAATTGATGTAGAATGAAAAAGGATTCACATCTTTACTACAAGTGTTGATAAGACAGAAACCACATTCTAATGTTCAATCAGTAGCAGCTGAAAATAAATCAGAATGAATCAATAAAAAGGACATGAATGGGTTTAAATCAGCTCTGACAGAAAAATTCTCTGATAGAAAAAATTCTCTCTGCATTGAACTTAGCAGATTTAGTCTAAATAGATTAAAAAAAGGAAAAAGGAATATTTTAAATAGTAGAAAAAGAGTGTTTCCTGCTGCAAAAAGTGACCATCTGTGCCCACATCCCTGTGAGACTACGAGTGCTTTTTGGATGTGACCTTCTGAAATAATCTGTCCACAGCACATTGGAAAATCAGTAGAGACATGTAGTTGATAGTATGGACTTTAAGATGTTTAATAGTCTTCATGTCGCTGCATTCAGCTCTCCCAAGACACAGAAGAGGCTGCTGGAGCAGCATTTGGGAACACCACTCATTCAGCAGATTTTGGGGTTTTGCAGCCACTCCACTAAATATTCCTCACGTGGGTTTGGACTCATGAGGATAACAACCAATGACGAGATCAGCACAAACAAAACCAGGATGTACAAAACCAGGTGCCACCATGAACCATTTTCTTTCCTAAGCCTCCTTTCTCTGCACACAAATAAAACCAAAAATCACTTTTAGATGCTGATGTAAAGACTTGCAGAAATCCACAGTATCCTCTAGCAGCACTCTGAGGAAATCCCTCTGTCTCTGCAAACACACCGTGCAGAATCCACCCCAAGAACTTCAGCTTCCGACGGCTTTGGTCCTGCTGCCCCAGGGAAACAGACCCAGCATGAACTCTAACCAGCACACGCTGTGTTATGGCAAGCACAGACACCACCTGGGGGCTCCTGGAAAGAGGAATGGATCCCAAATGTGCCTCAAGAAAAATGAGAAAACAGAAGAAACAGGTGCAGAAGAGGTGCAGAAACACAGTTTACAGGAGGTGAGGAATGCGAAGGGTGGCATCTCTGTGGAAGCAGAAATGAAGGGAAGCAAATAGCCCCTGAGAATCCCTTCACAGACAGAAGCAGCAGTGTTCAAAACAGAGGGGAGGGAATTCTGTGGGAAGAACACTCGGCAAAAGGTGCACTGAGCAGTAATAATGGCAATGAAGACGCTCGAGGACCTACAGTAGCTACACAGCTGTGAGAGCCAAGGGACCTGTCACAGACACTCCTGGTGAGCACAGGAGGCTCCTTCCAGCTACACACTAGGGAACCAAGGCTGTTATTACCCTAAGGTAATCAGGCCCCTTCCTAGGGCCCTGAGAAGCACAGCCCTCCAGGAACCCCCTGCACAGCCCGGGCAGAGGAACTCTCTGAAGACAGATTGTTTTGCCACTGCTCCTAGGACTATCACAGACAGCAAACCTCTGTAGTGCTCTGCAGAGGCTGATTCTCCACTGACATTGATTACAGAAGTTAAGAAATCACACAAAACAATTCCAACGTTTGGCATTCTGATGAAAACACAGGTTCTCTCAGATGAACTTCGTTGCTTATCTTAACTCTGGTCTCTCTCCATTAATTACCCTGTCTCTGTGCTGTACTACACATCAGATCACTCCAAACAGCTCCCACCACACAGTGGAACCAATTCTTTCTGCACTGTGGGCCAGTTCCTTTCACCTGGGAATGGGCCAGAACTATGCAAAACTACTTGGCATGGATTTTCCAAGAGGGACTACCACAAAGTCTCAGGTCTAAAAGATCAGCAAACACAAGTATTGCCTTGAGGATGCAGTGACTCTTTTCCTCTTCTTTCTCCCCCACTTCCAGACCTCATCCCTAGACCTTCCATCCCTACCTCCCCTGCCTTAATCAACTCAACCTGTTTTGCTTCAGTCACTTTCAAAGAGCCAATACCAGCTCCATGCACTGAAATGCTCCTCCAGTGCATCAGTAGTGTTGTGTAACTGTATTGCCCTGCTGGTTTCATTGGAAAATGACAGATATTCCAGGGATTACTAATAAAGGAACTCTGTCCACTGCTGTAGCTCTCCACCACCTCCCTGGCAGCAGCCCCTGCACTGCTCTGACCCCTGGACCAGCTGCTTGCTAATTTGGTGAGAAGAAATGCAGCAAATCCAAAAAGAAAGGAAGTGTCCTGCCAGTCTGCAAAAGGCTTTTTCCAAAAAGCAACAGCATTTATACAACTCAGTTTACTTTTGCACACTTTGAGGTGACTTTTGCAGACTTTCAGAGAGCAGCCTGCAGGGAAACTCCTCACATCACACGTTCTCACAGCAGCACAGAACAAATGGTTAAAATCCTTCTCCTATGTGGATGCCTGAGAGAGCTGGGGGTGTTCAGCCTGGAGAAGACAAGGTCCCAGGGAGACCTCAGGGTCCCTTCCAGTGCCTAAAGGGCTCCAAGAGAGCTGCAGAGGGACTTAGGACAAGGGGTGGAGGGACAGGAGACAGGGAACAGCTTCCCACTGCCAGAGGGCAGGGACAGATGGGACATTGGGAAGGAATTCCTCCCTGTGAGGGTGTTGAGGCACTGGCACAGGTTGCCCAGAGCAGCTGTGGCTGCTCCATCCCTGGGAGTGTTCCAGGCCAGGTTGGATGGGGCTTGGAGCAGCCTGGGCTGGTGGAAGGTGTCCCTGCCCACTGCAGGGGGTGGAACTGGATAGGCTTTAAGGTCCTTCCAGGCCAAACCAGTCTGTGATTTTACAATTCCTTTGCAAGGCAAGCCCTGATTGTGGGTCTGTCAACTCACTGACCCCCAGGGATCCACCTGCTCCCCATGGGACATCACTGGGAAACCTGCCAGGGGTCAAGTTGTGGGGAAGATTCCTGAGCCTTGGCAGTTAAAAGCTGGTGCTAGGGAACATGGTAATTCATTCTGCCAGTGGGAATATAGGGAGGAGAGTTGTGTTGCCAGCAAGGGACTATTTCCAGTGTTGTTATGAATGTGAAAAGCAAACTAAGGATAAATATTATACTGGGCCACTGACTGCCACAATGACACAAGCTGAGCAAGTACCATGATGCACCACATGGCCCTCCTGGCAGTGAGAGACCTGCTAAAATCCACTTACTGCTAATTTTAAGCATGATTGCCCTTCGCTTGGCACTCCAGACTCACTGGGACCTCAAGCACAAGAAACACGTGGATGAAGTTCAGTGGGTCTGGCTACGAGTCACCAAACCAGTAAGGGAGCTGGAGCACAGGCCCTGTGAGAGGCAGCTCAGCTCAGGGGAGAGGCACTGTCGAGCCAGGAGGTGGCTTTGGGTTAGAGTACCTGCTCAGAAGTTGGCAAGGACACAGAGCCAGGCTCCTGTGCAGGTGCACAACAGAAGGAGAGAAGGTCACAGTGCAAAAAAGGAGATGCTCTGAGTTGACAAAAGAGAAAGTTCCACCATGATGACAGTTCAGGTGCTGGAACTGGCACAGTCTCCATCCTTGGAGGTATTGGAGATCCTACTGGATAAAGCCCTGCGCAACTGGTTCTGAATTCAGTATCAACTGCTCTTTAAGCAGGAGGCTGAACTACAGAGCTCCTCAAGTCCCTGAATTACTGCATGAAAATATCCCACAAGAAATAGACTGAGAATTCCTGAAATGTTTTAAAACCTTCAGAGAAAGAGACAAGTTTTCACAATTCATCACCAAAACATAAATGGCAAAAATCCTGCCAAAAAAAAGGTATCAATTTGCACATATTTGCCATAAGCAACAATATTCCATTATTCAGCTCTCTGGCACATTCACTCCTGAAAACTGCTGTGGAAGCTGGTGAAATTCAGCTCTTGCCTTCTTAGATGTGGCACTTCCAGCAGCTGGAGTATTTGCAGCTAGTTCTATACTGAGAAATTCACTTTCTGGCAGATCTACCAACCTGGTGTGTGTGTGTGTGTGTAGATGCAAGATTCATCTACCTCCAGAAGGAATTACATAAAAGATGCAAGATCCATCTACCTCCAGAAGGAATTACATAAACGTTTAAAAAACCAACATATTTCCTGGCAAAAAAAAAATCAGCGTATTTCCTGACATTGAGCTAAAGACCACAAACAAAGAGAAATGCAGGAGCATTCCCAGTAAAGCATGCAAGAACACATCACTTGTCTCCTCTCCCCTTCCCATTTGCTCCTCACCCTGTTCAGCCCAGCAGCATGGCACAAGGAGCCAGCCTGGTGCACACACAGGTACGAGGCAAATCCGAATCCAAACACACACACACACACACACAGAGGCACAAAGAGAGAAGAGGCAAAGCATGAGGAAGCATGCACAAACCAAGGACAAGCGTGCAAGCCTCTCTGGTTTGGTATCTGGACTCAGTTAGGTGGAGAGAGATGCAGATAAAAACCATGCCAAGTTACCTTCAATGGAATAAGAATAATGTGCTGGGCTGGGCTGGCTTGTGGTTAACCCTGTAGTGCAGGTAAGAACACTGTGCTGACTTGTAGATGGAGTCTGAATTAAACCACTTTCAGGTTTCATACCTGGCCACAGTGCACCTGAATCAGATAAATTGGACCAGTTACAAACAAGTATGCTGGCACCAAACAGCATGCTGCTACCTCAGACTGAGGTTTTGGCTCATCACAAAAGCAAGTAACAGATGACACACAGGAAATGTTTAATTTCAGCAATGGAAGCACTGACTGTCAGGCTGTGCATGGATTAGAGCTGCTGACAAAATTGGCTGAAAAAGAGAAGATGAAAAGCACCAACAAGACCAATTTGCAAAGCTTTCAACTAAAAATCTGTTTGTGTCACTAAGATTGACTGTCCCATGGGAGTAAAGGACCTGCCAGTCCCTCTGAGTTTGGGCTGAGCTGCACAGCACTGCAGATGACCTCAGCTGTCACACAGCCAGGCTAAGTGGGGATCTGTGGAGGTCAAGGTCAACCCTTCCACTGCTTCACTAGGCTCTGGGCTGAGTGATTTAAAACAAGCCACAAGTCAGCAATTTTCAGAGACTGACAACAACAAATATAGAGCTAAAAAAAACAGAGTTAAAAATCTATATATTTCTTCCAGTTTTCCTGTTCTGGAAGGCTAGAGCTAAAAAACCCAGAGTTAAAAATCTACATGTTTCTTCCAGTTTTCCTGTTCTGGAAGGCTCTTGTAACAAGCCTGGGCACAGCGCAGAGTGTGCAGAGTGCCTAATTATCTGTGCAGGGCACACACAGCAGTGCAGCTCAGCTCAGGTGCTGTGTTAAGGTTGAGGCCACTGCACTAGCAGGTGCTAACAGCGTTCGACTGAGGCAGCTCAGCTCAGGCCTCACTCTTCAGAGCTCTTCAGCCTTTCCTTTGAGTGTTTCCACATGTACAGCCAAAGCCAAAGGCAGTTCCCCCTGGTCCTGGTTAGAAAGCAGGAATAGGTTGAGAGGACTGACTTAAAAACAAGCAGGAGTGTGCAAAGCAGAGGGACAAAGGACATTTGAAGCTAGACACAAAGTTCAGGGCCAGAAGAAAGACCACTCTCCTCCTTAAGCCCCCCTCCCAGAAACAGCACCAAGGCTGCAGAAGCCACCTGCAGCCCTTTGCTCACTCCTGCAGGATGAGCTACAAGCTCTAGGTCTCTTACCCAGAAGACATGGGAGAGTCCATTAAGCTAGACAAGAGCAGCAGCTCCAAGAGGTCACTCCATGCTGCTGCTTTCTCAGCATTAAAGTCTGCAAGGGCCCTTTGATTGATTTACAGATCTGCTCTCATACTGACCACCTATGAGTCAACTGACATCATTCCCCTCTGTACAGCCACCCCTGGGGTTTGACTCTCAAGCTGTGTCTTGCTTATTGTTTCAAACCTCCAGGACCAGGAGATAAATAGCAACCAAAAGGGAAAGGCTGATTCCAGAGATTGCAGATACACCTCAGAAACTCCAGAGTAAAACCCATGGGAAACAGATCCTTTGAAGAGAGTGAGAGTAGCTGTGTTTGTTCAGTCTGGCAGGGAGTGCCCCATCCCAAACAGGTGGGCAGTGTTTCAGGGGACAGTAGACAGCAGATCCCTACAGCACAAGGCAGGGACAATGAACAGACTGCAACAGGATGTGATGGTCTCAGGACACACAGAGTGCCAAACAACCCGACAGTGAAACCTGAACCCACTGGGAATGCTGCAGGATAATGGTCACACAAGGAGTATGACACCAGGCCAGGCACCCACAGAGGGGTTCCCAGTGCTGGCTGGATGCCAGTGCAGGACGTGTTACAGCATCTTTCAGTCCCTGCCTGCTATAACTATCTCTGTCACACACATCTCCTACCTTCCAAACAGCAAGGCACATTCTTGGCCTGGTGGCACAAGTCCTTCCCCTCTTGTTCTGCAGGACAGCACTTACAAGCTAGTACAGCCTCAAGGATGATAGAGAGGAAGCCAGGAGAGGGGGAATGAGAATTCTCTACGTCCAACAGCAGCACCACATGTCACAGAATGTCACAGGACACATCTCCATGCATGGAAAGGCCCCACACAGGACAGCCCATCACCTGTAGGCTCCTCTTGTGCTAATGCAAACCATCACATCCATGGTGCTCCTAAGACCAGCTTACAGCTACACATATGCAGCCTAGATGTCACTACTCTTATTTTAATGCTTCCTTAAAAAAATCTCTCCACACCACAAGTGTGTGCCATGCAGAGCAATGAACAGAACACCAAGAGAGGTGACAAACAGGCAACAGCAGAGGTCATCTCTTCTCTGAAAGCAGCATCCTGACTTGAGTGACCTCAAGATTGAGCTTGTGTTTGTCAGCTTGCTTGAATTTCATACTGTTGTATTCCAGTTACATAATCCACAGTGCCTTCTTTCTGCCATAGAAACAAATACACAGTAGAAAGAAGACATGCCCACCTCTGAAACAGGCCATTTGATGCTGATAAAACATCTGACAAAGGTGTTGGTCCTCACCTGCTCACTGGAGATTTTGTGAGCAGAAGCAGTTTGCAGAATTCCCTCTGCAGTGCTCTCGTTCAGTCCTCCACCCTCCACCTCTGCACCACCCTGTAAGGTCTGTCTTCTCAGCATGACTCAGCAGGTAACGCTCCAGTATCATTTCCATTACTGGAAATAATGACTTTTAACATCTTCCTAACACTTACATTCACACTAAAAATTCAGGTGTATAACAACAGACCTCAAAATCCACACCAAGACGTTTCAGTAACCGATCACATTTCAGACATTTTACAGACAGAAGTTCCTCTGAAGTCAACAGAACATGCAGATCTCTTGCCAGATGTTGAGAGAAATTTCTAGTGTCACATTCAGAGTGTTAACACTGAAGCAGTTGAGTACCCCTGAATACCAAAGCCTTTGGATTAAAAACACCCAAACACTCCCCCCAAATACAGCCACCACTCCTGCCACCAACAAATCATTACACACACAACACACACAAACCCTACACCCTCCCTCACTCCAGAAATTGTAGAAGTCTAAAACACCCTCTTAAACAACTTCACTGGAGCACTCCACGTTATTTACAAATATTTATCCTTTTAAAAAAACAACATGTGACACAGTAGAATACCCAAGAACACACCAAGCAGCCTCAGTGCACCATCCACAACAAACTGTGAAGAAATACCAAATAAATGCAGCAAAGGGAAAACCTGTTCAAGTACAGCAAATAGTGCAACAAGGCACTGAAACCAAAGAGCAGGCACCCAGGGGACAGAAGTGTGTTCCAGCAAACATTAGTAATCACAGTATTAGTAATTTAACTTATGTTTAACAAAGCAGAGTCCAGCTGTATTGTTCTTTCTACATCATCTTTCAAAAATACCACAACAAATCAGTTGGTTTGTAACCTACAGAAAAGCCCTTGCTCTGGTAGCAGCTAACAAAGCCAGAAATGTAGCTGGTTTTATTCAAAGACATCTAGTGCTTCAACTAAAGAAAAATTCATCCTTTTACACATCAAGACACTAGGATTTTAGCACTACAGATACACCTGCAAGAGGCTCTGTTCATCTGGTTGTACAGCACCACCACAAGCCCCTGAGACAGACACATAGAATCATAGAAGTGTTAAAAGAGTTGGAAAAGACCTTTAAGATCATCAAGTCCAACCATTAACCAGCACCACCACCATGTTCACCACTAAACCATGTCCTCAAATACCATATCCACTTCCAGGATGGTGACTCTACCACTGCCATGGGCAGTTGTGATGCTCCCCAAGGTTCCTTGCACAATGGGGAGATGTTCTCCCCTCTCATCAGAGCCTGGTGCTAAGGGATACAACAGCCTCTGCCACCTTCCATTTCTTGAGGGCTGGCAGCATTATACAATATTTACATATGAAACCAAGAAGGGCAACTTTAAAAATGAAAAGAGAAGTTAAATTATTCATTTTTAATAATCAGTTATCATATTTGATATGTGCAGAGGGATGGTCAGTCGTGTGGGTTTTCCCCAGTGCCTGACACATTCATGTCCTTCCTGTTCATACAGAGGCTGGAGAGAAGCCTGAGAAAAGGGCCCTGTGGGTCCTGATGATGGCGAGTTGAACATGAGTCAACAGTGTGTCCTGGCAGCCAGGAGGGACATCCTGTCCTGGGAGCATCAGGCAAGGCATGGCCAGAGGGAGAGGGAGGGGATTGTCCTGCTCTGCTCTGTGCTGGGGCAGCCTCACCTCGAGTCCTGGGGCAGTTTCAGGTGCTTCAATATAAGAAGGATCTAATGCTATTGGTGAGTGTCCAAAGGAGGGACATGAGGATGGTGAAGGGTCTAGAAGGGAAGCCACACAAGGAGCACTGATGGCACTTGGTGTGTTCATCTGCAGCAGAGGAGACAGAGCTCACCAGGGGCTGCAGCTCCTCCCGAGGGGCAGTGCAGGGGCAGCTCCATCTCTGCTCTCTGGGACCAGGGACAGGACCCAGGGAATGGCTGGAGCTGTGTCAGGGGAGAGTTAGGCTGGAGAAGAGGCAAAGGTTCTTCCCCCCGAGGTGTTTGGGCACTGAACAGCTCCCCAGGGCAGTGGTCACAGCCCCAAGGCTGACAGAGCTCCAGGAGTGTTTGGCCAATGCTCTCAGGCCCAGGGTGGATTGTTGGGGTGTCCTGGGCAGGGCAGGGGTTGGACTGGTGATCTCGGGGATCCCTTCCAGCTCAGGATATTCCATGATTCTAATACACAAAGCACAAGGAAAAACCAGGCAGCTCCTTGCACTGGGTAACACATCCATTTTTCTGTCAGCATTACTCCTCCTCAGCTCCATTTGCATACCATGGAGAAAGTCAGCCATTATCTTGTAAAACAGTCCAACCCCCAGAGGTGTGTTTCCCTCTCCATGCACAGGGTGGATAGCTCAGACCCTGCCATGGAGCTTTAGTGGTAAAAGAACTCTAACCCTTCAAGCATTTGCAAAGGCTGGAATGACTCTCAGGGGGGCTCAGCTATTAGAGCAACTTAAGCAAATTATTTGTCTAGTAAACTTGAAGATATTTCAGCATGAAATCTGCATTTGGTGAAAGATGAAATAATGAAAATGTCTTCATCTTGGCCAGCAAAAAGGAAAACATCTTCAGCAGAGATGCTGTACTATGGGGTGTTGTGTCAAGGAAATTGCACAAACACAGCTATACCACAACTGGAGACAATTATGATCCCAAACCAAGAACCATCTGGCAAACTTCATGGGGAAACATCCAAACCAACAGCCAGGAAAACAGCTTTGTAAGAAATCGTATTTTGTAAGATGAAGTTCCATCAAGTGATCAGTGCCTATCTACAATTTAAGGCACATGATCTCCTAGAAACTCTTCTCTCAAACACACCTGGGTAAGCTTCATATTGGCTTTGTAATGAACACAAGACAACAACTGCAGGCACGGAGAAGGCTTTCAGAAGTCGCTACTTACCGAAAGGAGGTAGTCCATAGGTCTGGGTGGTCTGGGGGTAGATGGTGTAGGGCTGGGACTGCTGTAGTGCTTGGTACTGAGGCTGACCAGGGTAAGGGCTCATGGTTTCTGATACAGGTACAGAAAGGATATGTGCATATGGCCTTCGTGAAAAGAGAGAACAAAAGTCAGAAGGAACTGTTTACATTATGCAGCTTTCAGCCTCCAAACCAGAATGCACATTAAAAGATTGCTTCAGAAAGAACTAACTTTTCAGACTGACAAGGTGCTTAGTGCAGTAAATCCCCTGTGCTTCCCAAGGCAGGCTCTTGGGTTAGAGATGCTGACAGCTCCCTGCAGTGACACCAGGAAACTGGCTCCTCCCTGAGGCCAGAGCACCAGTGCTCATCCCAGGACTGGGAGGGCTGGCTGAGAGGGGAAGGACAAACTCCCCACCCAGCAGGCACAAGCAGTTAGTCCCACTTATGCCTCGCCACACCAGACCTAAAGCCACTGCAATACAGTAGTAGGTGTCAGAGCTAGTGGGACACACAGAGAGACTCACAAAGCAAGCAGGGGGGCTAAGGCCTGTCCTGCTCCAAAGGGAAGAGCTACAAAGATCCCTAAACACAGAGATGATGAGAAGATCTTATAATCCCCTTACATATACTTGTGCTCATTTTGTTTATTTGTCAAATATTATGGGCATTATTCACCAAAGCTATTGTGTTGTTAATTGCTTGAAAGGGCTCATTTATCCTTGCAGTCATAAACCAACAGTCACTGAAGCCAAAGAGTGACTTCTGCCAGCTTCAGTGTCTGCAGCAATGAGCATGTGCTGCCAGCAGGCATCAAAGTGGAATTTACAGCATCAGAGAAATGCATAAAGATGCAAAAAAATTACTTCAGAAAGAAGTCAGAGTTACAGAATTCAGTAACAGCTGCTTGACTTACTTTGCAGAATACATTTGTGAGGTATAATCATTTGATGACCTTGGAATATAATCAGTGCATGCCATAACTGAAAGAAAAATAGTTTGTGTAATTACAGAGGTGCTTTCAAAACCCAACAATAAAGACAAATATCAGTACTCAAGCCACATTTTAACCAAGACATGGGATTTACAAGGGGTTTTAATGCCCTAAATATCTGCTTCAAAGCAAATTCTCAAAACCACACTGTTACACCAGCACAAAAATGTTCTTGCCAGCTCACAGATCAATCACTATTCCTCCCTGTGTAACAGTGCTCCTTCTCTTAATTAGCTGGTACCATCATCTTTCACACTTGTCATAATGAAACTTTAATTTCAGTCCTGCCCCAAACCCTGCATGTGCCAAAGGGGCTTCATCTGCACCAAACCTAACATTTCTGCATTCCTAATGCTTGTTTTGCCTAGTTTTCCTCTTCCCCTACATACTCCACCTGAGCATGGCTCCAACAAAGTCTTTCCTCTAAAACAAGCAGCTCCAGCTCAACAGCCTAAACCCCAGACAGGCAGAGAGGCAGAGGGCCCAGAGATTCCTCTGAATTAATCTGGCAGTTAGACTTAATCAGATTATTCCATTTTTCTTCTTGAATAAATCGACAGCACTTCCCCTCTGAAACTGGTAAGACAGAGTGTCTCAGGTTGCACATGCAAGGAGGAAATGTTCCAAATCTTCTCACTCAGCAGAGCCCATGGCTCTAGCTCACCCTGTAAGACACCTGCTGCAGCACTCAGGGCTGGGTGGAGAAGGAGGCTTGAGCTGCTGTGGCTTAACCAAGAGCCATTAAAAACCCCTGGATGCACATCAGCTGACCTGACCAAATAATCAGCCACCCATCAAACTAGGAAAGCAAGGACCCTGGCACAGAATTTGGCCCTGTGCAGCTCCCTTGGCACCACCACAGTGCAGAACACTGCTGTGAGCTCCAACATATGTGGTTGTGTATCTGCATAGTTACATGGGTTTATCCATTTGGATCTACAAGCACCATACCCAAACCCTTAGCAAACACATCTGCACTGCTGTGGATCCAGCTGATTCCTCTCTGGAAGCAAAACACCCAGGCTCCAGTCCTGCCCAGGAAGGGATCCAGGCTAACAGTGTCTCCCTTGCATGGGGCCAGGGCTTGGCTCCTCCAGTGTTACCATTTACAAGAGACCACACTTTCCTTCTCCCTCTGGAGTGACTCAGTTAACAGCCTTCAGAAAGGCATACAGTCATGGCTAGCAGCATACTCTGCTTTGGGATTTGATCCCCATGCCAATGATGTGCTCCAACAAGTCAGGATCTCCATATCTGAACACTATTCTCTTGTATCACCATGTAGTTAACTCTTTCATCAGCTACACACACTAATGAGAGTAAGTCAGTTGGCACAGGCAAGCCTAAACCCAACGGGCATTCTGCCACCTCAATAACCTTCTCTTAGTGTAATCTGAACACAAGCAGCTGAGAAACACAAACCATCAGCCACATGCTCTAAACCTTCTGACTGGTCCACAAATCACCTCCCTCTGCTCCTCAGCGTTTGCCTTTACTCATGGTGTGAGCACAGGGATACGACAGGAAACACAAACTGGGAAATTCCAGACCTAAAGGCTTTCATTCAACACTTGTCAGATGTTCCCACATCCTTGCTGCAAAAATGTTTGGGTTTTGTGGGTTTTTCAAAGAATGTCAATATTCATCTGGGTAGTAATGATATTTCTAGAATTCTTGTTTTTAAAATAGCACATAAAGAATTATCTATTGGTGTAAAAAGGCAAAAACCCCACAATAACACTGCATGCAAACTCGGGGATTTGTGAATGGCTTATCCAGTCAGGCAGCAGATTTTGCAGGCTAAAACTTCTGCTAACTCTTGCAACATCACAGCACGTGGATTAAAATAGCAAAGAGGACATCAGTTACAATGGAAAGTTACACATTACACATTTTAAGTCAAGATGAGCTGCTTTACACCTAGAAATACGTATCAGCAGAGGTATTCCACACAGGAATCTGACTTTCCTAATAACTCCAGCCCTGTTTTCCAAAAGAAAGGATACATTCCACCTCTCATTATGCAATCTTTGTGTTTCCTGCCTGTTTCCTTTCTGTTTATTTCCTAAGGGCTTTCTGCAGACATTCAATACAGTTTGGAGTCTAAGAATGTCCTAAGACATTCAATACAGTTTGGAGTCTAAGATGAAGCCTATGGCATACTGTTACAAAAGTCCCAACCAGCTGTGCAGAGATAATGATTTATAAAACATCTTTTACAACAGGCATTACTATTGATCAACTCAACCCTCAAGAGAAGCCATGCCTAAGGCAGATCAGACTCACAGTGCCCAGCAGCAAGCTGGGGGGCAGTGACACAAAAATATTTGTTAGAAACACGCACTTGCTTACCATCAGGCATTAATGCTTTGTAAACACTACAGCCAATGTTCACTTCACAGCTGATAGTGAGGGCAGGCCAAGGATTGCAAGGAGGAGACAAAGCTTGTGCTTGATGAAGCAAGGTACCAGTGGAGGAAAAGAGGGAGGATGGTGGGAGTAGATACTCACTCTCACTGGACATGGGAAGGTTTGAACCAAGGCTTGAAGATTCAGGTTTCTGATCGCTGACTTCTGCGTTGCTCACATGACTGTCAGGACAAACAAAGACTCAGCATTAGCAGGATGAACTCTTAAATTAACATCCTTGGGCATCATTAGCCCTTGGGTTCAACCTTCCTGACTGAGGCATGCTGACTCCTCACAGAACCTAGCTGTGAGTGATCTGATATTTCAGACACAGATCCCGAGTGAGAGATCTGCAGCTGGAGTTAGGCATTGAACTATGTGGGGTTTGCATGGCAGGTTTTGGCAGCTGGGGGGCTGCAGGGACTTCTGTGAGAAGCTGCCAGCAGCTTCCCTATGTGCAGTGGAGCCAAAGCCATCCAGCTTCAAAACTGATCCATCAGTCGCTGAGGCCGAGCACATCAATGATAGTGGGAGCACCTCTGGGATGGTATATTTAAGAAGGGAAGAAAAACAGGAGTGAGGATGTGACAGAAACAGCCATGCAGACCCAAGGTCAGTGGGGAAGGTGAGGGGGTGCTCCAGGCAGAGCAGAGCAGAGATCAACCTGCAGTCCAAGAGGAAGGAGCAGCACGGAGCTCCCAGGGCACTGCTGGCTGCTCTCACACACCCTTGGCTTCCCCTTACCCCCTGCAGCAGCCAAGGTACTGCTGCCATGAGTGGTATGTGTGGCCCTGCCACACAGGCTCCTGTGCCCATGGGCATTGCCTCACTGCTGGCTCTGTCCCTGAAAACCAGTGCTGCAGCATCCTTGACCTGGGGGTCACTTCTGCACTTACATATTTGCAGGTCAGTGGATTACTTTGGATGTGTCCTGCTCCACTTCAGTTCCATGTCAGTGCTGTTTTGTTCATTACAGAGCAGGAAGTGCAGTTTATTCTGAATGAAACTGCTCGTTCCTTGATGATTGCCTTGCTGGCTTTGTTTTATTATTGCTAGTTCTGCAACACAGCTTTTCATGAGGTTTTGAGGCATCTCTGTGTTCTTCTGACATTCTCAGGCTGCAGCTTTTCCAGGGTGAAGGAGCCAAGGTAACTGCTTATTGCTGCTGGGGAAGGACTTTTGCTTTTGGCTCAGGTGTGCACTAGGCACAGTACTCTCTGCACCCCTCCATGACCTGAGTGCTCAGCATCACAGCAAAAATAACTGCATGGGTTTTGTGTTGGATGAGCAAATTAAACTCCCATGGAGAGCCTAAGGGTGCTGAGCTGACAGGGAGTAGGAGGCTGTGTGAGAAATAAACCCAGACCATAAAACACCTTTCCCCACCTCTCCCTGCCTCTTGGGCTCAACTAAGGTCCCAATTTTCCCTCCCTCCTTCACCCTCAGTAGTGCAGGGGGATGGGAGAAACAGGTCTAATCAATTATTTTAGACTAGTCCAAAGGTGAAACTTAAAATCATCTATAGTTTTATCAAAATAAGAGCCCGAATATTTTAAACAGAATATTTAAGTAGGTTAGGAATGCAATTTTATCCCTCTTCTACTTCTGAACACTATATAAAGATGTTTACACTCAAATCCTGAGCTCCTGGCACCCCTAGGGAAGTTGTGATCACACTGAAGCAGGATGAAGCATGGAAGAAGGGACAGTGTTCACCCTGGTGTGTTCAGACCTGTTGGTGCTGCCCTTGGCCCCTCTGCAGCCAACAGAGAGGAAAAAACCCTTCTAGGATGTGGTTCCTCTGACCTCAGAGCAGCCAGAAAGGAAGGTTGTGTGATTAGCTCAGATTTCTAACTTTCAGACCTATTGCCTCTTTCACACACTGTTTGTTCACTGTTTCCTGTTGAAGAATTCCCTTAACTGAAAAGAAACAAATACAAAATGTCCCAATGTCCTCATTCAGGCTCCAACAGACCATGTCCACTCCTGCAGAAATGGCACACATGGTGTTTCCTCCTCGCTCCTCCTGGGATGGCAGAGACTCCAAACAGTGTATTTGCCATTTGCTGCCACTCAGAGGAACAGAATAAATCCTAATAAAGCTATTCTCATTATAGGTAATAACAGTGATTAATTCCTAAATACAATACCCATCAGTAAGTATCTACTGAAGTTAGAAATAGTACCACACAACAGCTTTACTCAGGAGAGGCTGTCAGCTCAAGAGGGTTTCATTTCCCAAAGTACTTACCCACAGTTTTGCTGAGAATCATAGCACAGACATCATTAAATCATCCTGAGCCTCACTAAAATAAATGCTATGTGCAGTATATGACAGTTTCATCACATTCTGTGAACAGCAGGAGCCTTGATGATGCCATTAAGACTCTCTGTAGCCATTTTTATAGAAGCTTAATACCAAAGGGCCAGTTAATTATGGTTTTTATTGGGAACATAATCTCAAAATTATGTGAAATACAAAAGGGACTGTACTTGCCCAAGCTTTGTGAAAAACAAAACAACAGGCAAGCTTCTAAAATGGAAGTTTATAATGAGAAAAGAATATTAAGAACGTTCCAAACAAAAAAATTCCATACCTCAGGCTCTGCTCTCTGGACTCCTGCATCTTGGCTTTTTTCACCTGCAAAGACAAAAACATTCAGAGCCACAACTGGCATGAGCTGTCCTTGAGGGAAGCTCTCACACACTTCCACCAGCCAACACCTTTGCTTACTGGAGTGGTGGTTTAGCCTTGCCCTGCACACCAGAGCTCACCAGTGTGACAGGGTCATCAGCTCCTAACAAACCTGGTTAGAAAGCAAGGGCTAACACTGACTCTGGCACAGAAGAACTGCCATGTTAGCTATGGAAGTATCAGATGATATTGGGACATAGAACCACAAATGGCTGACATGGACAAGTATGTGGAAATTGAATAAAACAGTCGTCAATTTTAAGTAGATCTTACTTCTGCATAGATTCAGCACTGTGGCCATAAACTTCACTTTCTCCCCACTATATTTTAATAGTATATAAAGATAAGAACCTGACTACCTTTTCTGTAACAAATCAGGAGTTTAGATTCCTGAGTAAAACCAATGCAACACTTACTCTGATTTCCTAGCTGCTCACTGGATCCTGTTCCTGGACAGGGTCTCACCCCACAGACAGCACTGGCTTGAACCTAAAGTCAGTTTTCTGTGTGCAGGCTACAAACACTCCTCCAAACTTCCCTTTGCTCTCTTATTTCCCAAGTCTGATTCTGTTTTCTAGCTCTGCAGCATGCACAGAAACTGTTTCCATTCCAATCCAGACTTGCAGAGGGAGGAAACCCTCAAAAGCCACGGACAAAAGACACCTGTGTACAACAAGTCAGGCAACAGCACAGGGCTGAGGGATCAGACTAACACTGAGTTAGAAGAGATGCATTTTGAGACCAATTATTCCCATCACTCCATACCAACACAAGAAAATTACCCCACTTTCAAACTAAGTTTTCTGAAGTAAAATACACTGAACTCTGATGACTTCTCCACAGGCTCCTTTCTGGCTTCAGTTATCAACAGTTTGCCACAAACATTATTTTTTAAAATAGCTTTCTAATCTTGTTCCTGTGATTATGAAAAACAAAATCACTTGGGAAGAAAACAACTGTGCACAGTACCAGCACAGGGCTACTCGGCTCACATGGATTTGCAAAGTTGAATTTAGTTTCCTTTTATTTATTTAAATCAAGAAAATTCACTTCTTTCAGGAATGGTCTCACTATTGAAAAAAAATAAAAATTGTTCTTTTCATTTTCCCCTGCAAAAAGTGACACCATACTCAAAATCCCACTTCACTCCCTCACGGTGATCTGTTTACTCCCACATTCTCTTGCAGAATGACTGACTGGCCTCAGGTACTTGAAAGGAATTGCATAGGAAATCTTCAGCTGAAAAATGCAGCAGAATCTGTTTCCATGTACTAAAAATTAGCTGTGCCCTGTCTCTCATGCCCTGAAGAATAAACACAGTTTTCATCAGATAAGGATGTAAATAGAGGTATTTCCTTTTTTAATATAAACATTTTATTCATTTTTAAGCCCCACAAATAGCTGGAGTTCAAACTAGATGTTTTTGCTGCCTAGCTTCCCATTTTGGGCACATTACACAACCCATTACCTGCAGGTTGTGGTGGGCAAGGTTCTGAACCTTGGAAATTTACATTTCCATTTCATTCAACTGTTCTTAAGTCATAAAATTGCATCAAGGACAATGTAATGCATTTCCTAACTAGTTTAACTGAAGAACATAAAATTCTTGCATCAAAAAGCATCAAGATCTTTTCGATGAGAACATCCCCACAGTGCCCTCATCTTGTTACTCTGGTTTTGTGTGTTTGACAAGGTCTCCAAAATTACAGTAAGTTTCACTTGGCAATTTCATATTGAGTTTGTCTCAGGTTTAATTTGGAAACAGAACATGAATACAAACACTTCTGCTTAATTTCTATGCTCTGTTTTAGATACACTAATTTAACTTCATCTCATACTTCTGTGCTGTGATAGTATCAGTTATTTTATGCCATATCAGTTGTATGTTATCTCAGTTATTATTCTTGCAAACAGTACAGCAAATATTTCACAGATACATGGCAATCTGAACCTGAAGTCATGCTTCCTTACTCCAACACACCGTTAAATTAAGACTAAAAAATGCTTTCCAGCTGTGGAGACGATGGATCACAGATCTTTTCAAGTTCTCAAGCACAAGATGAATCAAAGACTACATACCCTGTAATAACCAGCATGCTGATTCTGTCCCTAAAGTAGTGAGTGTTATTTTCTCTGCAACAGGCTTGAAATAGTCTGGTTTTACGAGCATAACAAGTGCTAATTTTGCATAGAAACATTCATAGAGTTCAAGCATACATAACTATTCCTTCACTACTATTGCCTGTACAGTCACAGTAAATCAAATGCACAGCACGTTTTACAAACAGCAAAATGCTTTTTCTCCTCTGGATAAATATACTAAATATAAACCTTCTATTCCAATATTCATGACAATAACTGTATAGTGAATTTGTGAGAACACCAATTTGTTTCCTATTTTAATTTTTAGCCTTTTTTAAATGCACTTACTGGTTGTTCGGGTAAGTCTTGTGGCTCTTCCATGGGTATTACTATTTCAATGTTTAAATTATTGCAATCCTGTGTTCCTCAGCAGTCTTCAAGGCCTGTCAAAAGAAGGTGTTCATAGCTTTATGTACTTTTTGGGGGGCTTATCATGTAGGCTATCAGAGAACAGTAATTGCTATATTCTCCTCCCACAAAACTCGTGCTGCCATCTCCCAAATAAAAGACAAAATTAATATACGGAATGATTTCATAAACAAGGTATTTAGCTCTAAGCTTCGAAGATAGAGATTTTTCACGCACATGGCACATTTCTACATCATTCACTTGGGCTGCGCGGGGCGCAGGAGCTAACGTACCAATCGGACACGTGCACCACGAGTTTAAAGACACTTTAAATGATCAAGTCTGGTCTACTAGGTCAGTAAACAGCGTGATTCAATCTAACCTGTTTTAATTTAGAACATTTATATAACAATCAAAAAAAAAAAAATCAGGACAAGACAGTACTCCTAAATGCATTTACACACAGTGCCGGTCGTGGCCAATTCACAAAGCTCTTCGTTGGCTCAACTGCATCTTTTGAAAAGAGAAAGTTGGTGGAAATTTATAAAACCATTCGTATTTTGGAAGCATTTAGCAGAGAGATCCTGTACACTGCACCAAAGAGCTGATACCCCCTAGGGGTCTAAAGTCACGGAAAGGAAATTTTGCAGATTATTTTCACAACCTGATTAACCTTTTGCTATTTGTCGGGCAAAAGATAAAGGCCCTTGTCCTCATGGCTTCCCCCCTGCCTGTCTGACGTGCACAGGCAGCGTGACCTGTGTGTTTACTCCTTCTCCCTCTCATTTCAGAGCCACTTCATTAAAACCAACCCTGACCCTCGACGGGTGCGCGCAGTGCCTGCTGTGCCACCCCAGCAGCGCCGGCTGCCACGCGCACGTGGCCACGTTCCTGCACACACAGCAGAGCCTCGGGGTGACACAAACCAGGAGAGATGCTGCAAAACACTTAGTGCGTTGGAAGACGTTAAATTCGGTGCCTTTCTGTGCCGAAGCACAACTTATTCCTGAAGCACAACTTATTCCTGCCTCCGCAGCCCGGAAAGTCTGGCTGCACATCTCAGTGGAGATGTGAAAGGCTGTTTAGACACTCCTTCCTCTAGGACCTTCCCTTTCCCCATCCTGTCCGGAGCATTCAGGTACCTTCACATCATGGAACTGGGCCCACACCAAGAGACTAATCTAGTTTACAGAACAACTTTGCAGCGTCCTGAAAAGCACAGCCCTGTCCCCCAGCAGGCCCTGCCAGACCTACTTAGCCTGCAGCACGTGCAGCGTGCCCGCGGCACAGCCCCACGTGCCAGCCACAGGGATGCCTCGCAGCCCGGAATAATTCACTACCAACCAGGAAAACACAAAGCATTTCTGCCTTATCTCTGGACAGGTCTTACGTGCCAGGGTGTATTGTACAGGCCAGGGTAAGATTTCATTGAGAGCTTGAGGATTTTGCAAGGCTGCAGCCCCTAATCAAAGCCACTTACCCTCATTGCCTGAACTGTAAGTCAGCTGAACTTAGAATAATGCTCTTCAATAACTCAGGTTCTTTGGAAATTGCCCTATTCACACTACACACAAGAAAGTCTACAATACAAAGCACCACTTTACAGCCCTTTACAGTTTTTCCTCCATCAGCTTCAGTGATGGAAGCTTATTTTATTTTAAATACAAAACTTGATTTTAAATAATAATTTTAAAATATTTTCAA